TCCAAATTTAGGATAGGAAATCATAATTTAAAAATAGAAACTGGAAGATTTACAATCCCCAAAACTCCTGAAGACCTTAGAATCTGTGATCATTGCAGCCAAAATTCGGTTGAAAATGAACTGCACATATTATTTCACTGTGATCAATACAATGATTTGAGAAAGACTCTTTTTATTAAAATCAACGACCGAAATACATTATTTACACACTACAATATCCATGATAAAGTCTGTTTTCTTTTTAACAATACTGATTCACATATCAGCAGGCTAGCTGCTAATTTCATCTTTCAAGCATTTGAAAGACGAAAGAAACATAGTTAATTCTACTATTCCATCATACCTGTATTTCCTTAAACTTAGCTGTTTATTATTGTTATTTTAATCGGTAACACCTGTACAAAATGGTAATACTGAATAAACTTGTTGTTGTTAAATAAATGAAATGTTCAAGTGGAAATAACCAAACTTTAATAATTAATTGTTAATAAATATTTCCTCATTTTGTAGACTTGGCGAGCTTGTTGGTAAAACGAGGGAGGACGTGAGATTGACCTTGATGTTTAAAGCTCTTTCCAGAGGAGAAGTGTCCCATGTTCTTGATATATGCAGGTTGGTACAGTTAGTCAGTTCAAATGCGTGTTATTTTTATTGTTTTTAATAGACGTTATTCACGATATCCGCCATCTTGGGATAAAATCAATGTCACTTTGTTTCTCAGCAAAAAATTGCCAATTGAAGAAATCGCAGTTGAGTTTGTGTATTCTATAAATAGACAACAGGAAAAGAAGACCTTTTCATCTTAAAGACGATAATGTCAAAAAATGGGTGGAAGTGATCATTGTTACTTTTTTGTATGCAGTAGCGACGGTAGATGTCCTCATGGCAAACAGTAATGACGCAACTCTTGCCAAAACTCGATTTGTACATTTTGCATGACTGTGAAATCGTCGTCTCGTTTTTATAGAATAAACACCAGGGGGTTCATTAAGGTTTTGAACAGGAGGGAAACTGAGTTTGACACCCGGGCAAAGAATTGGCAAGGCCCTCCGGGCCTTGCTCCCTGGGGGGGTCTGGGGGCATGCTCCCCCGAAGAATTTTGAAATTCTATAGTCGCATGGATGTGTTTTCCTGCATTTTGAAGCTGCAGACAGTGACTTTCAACAACCAAAATAAGATAACTTTTCTAGACAATTTAATCATGATTTGAATCACAAAAGTATTAGTTTAACAACTTATCTTTAAAATTTCAATGACTAGACGGGAGGAGCACTGTTTTAACGTGAACGCACCGAAAATTAATTCATTGGCGTAAACCATAAAACGAAAACAAATGACGCTTCGCTTCGTTGAACATGATAATTAAGCCATTCAATATATACAGGCAAGTAAAAGGTTAAATCACAAAGAAGTCAAATCACCTCTTGGCCTTTTCTCTACTGGAGGCCCTTTGGTTGAAGCCGAAAAATCATCCTCTATCGAACGCGTTCTTTTCTGGGCGGCCATGCTCACGTGCTCGCAACACTGATACATTTCAGGTGGTCGTTTATGAAGCACAGTTCTTTTCACAATGTGTTATCAGGCGATTCTTCTTTTTAACACATAACGAACGATTTCATGCCGATTTCATGCCGCGTGTAATAAAGTGGAAATTGCACGGCAAAGTATGTTTTACACTCGATAAGACTCATCAAGAAAAGGGCACGATTGTAACTTAAAACTGTTTTTGATCGTTCCTTGTATTAAAAAGAAGTTCTTTGAGGTGTAAAGCAGCCGGGCAAAGTCGTGTTCACAGTCGGTCAATTTGCCCGGTGCCCGGCCCTTAATGAACCCCCTGTAAACAAACTCGGCCGCGATTACTCGCATTGGCAAATTTACTTTTTTGCTCCGTGAAATACCACGTGACATAACGTTTATCCCATCAATCCTAGAGCGCGTGCAAAGATGGCGGGTATTTTTAAATTATGGTGTTTCTGGCAGAAAAGCGGCTGTTAAGCACTTAAATCCTATTGATGGCCCTTAATGTGTCCATTTCAACACGAGTTGACTTTTTCATTTATCAGAGAGCTCATTGAGACAGCACCGTCTGACACATCGGCCCTCACTTTGTATAAAGTGGCTCTCACTGTTTGTGAGAGGCTAGCTGATGGACATTCCACTCTAACTGATAACAACAACAAGGGCATGAATCACGTGACCCAAGCAATTCATCGCCTACTGTGCCAGGCTGCAACACACTGCTCAGAAGGTAAGGAGGCACAGGATGTTGGAATTTCTTTGCCCAGTCCCTGTACGACAACTTGCCAGGCCTTCTAAGTCAGCGCAATTCAGTGACGTATCCAAGGCGACAAAAACCCCTCGGACCACGTGACCCGAAACGCATTGGCTGCGCGGAATAATGAGGCCTGGGGACTAGGCAAGAAAACCTCAGAAACCCTAAAGGACCAGTTGAAAAAAATCTGTAAATATTATTGTGATATTTTAGAATCCTCAAGAGAGGTAATAGAAATCCACAAAGAATTAAGGGAGGATGAGATAAACGTTGTTAACTAAGGACAAACCTGACAAATCTAGGCTTGGAAATTGTGACGTTAACTGTGATTGAGCTATGAGTTCTGATAAGAGAAAGCGGGGGTGTGGATGGATTTCGGGTCGCACAGAAACTTAGAGCTTTTAACGACACGGCTTAGACCCAGAATGCTTGATATGAGCTCCTTTTTAACATATCACTCTAAATTAAAAGCCAACAGAATCAAACTGTTCATCTTTAACCAACATTACATTTGACTTGCTGCATACAAATCTACGAATTTCGGTTCCTCAATGGTTTCTTGTAATACAAAACCAATCACAATCCAAGCTGTTTTGAAGGTGGAATTGTGTATTAGTAAAGCAGTAGGAATGAGGTCTTTTAAATGCACGACTATATGTTGAATTTTGAGCGGTTCTGTGTTATGTGAATATGCGCTTTGCAGTGAATCACAACGTCTTTTTTCGGATATTCTAGAACTGCTGTGTGACTGCACTGAGTTATGCAAATGTTGTCGCCTGACAGACTGTGTGTATTCACAGTGCGAGAGTGGAGACTATGGATTTTCAGTTCAGACGACTCCACAAAGGTTAGTGGTTTGTTCTCCTTAGCGCACACTTGCAAACTGAAGACAAAACCCTTTAAATCTAGACAAAGAGCGAAACTACTGCAACGTTAATACGTCAAACACTATACCATGTTTCGCTCCCGGGACTGTATTAGTAGCACAGCTTTCTAAGTTCAAGTATGCAAGGACGTCAAGCGGGGAACGTTTACCTTCTTCTTTTCTCTCCCTGAACTGCTGGGCCTTAATTAAGCTTCATTTCTTTAGGAAAGTTTTAACGCGGGCAGGTGGGGGGTTCCGAGGCCTGTTTGGCTGAACCGCCTACGTTCGCCCACAGTTCGCTAAGCGTCAACATTTTCTCGGAAATATTAGGCAGATTTGGCCAAGACAACACAACGTCAAATTGGAACGCGTAAGCGTTTGGAAAAAGACTAAACCTACTTCCAGTGCTAAATTTGCCGTTCTGCCATTCCTCAACTCGTTGTCACGTTGCAGCACGTTGTCTTTGCTAAATCTGCCTATTATACTGATGACATTACAAGTGGTTTCAGAGATGTGGTTGACCACTCTACGAGTGCGGTTATAACCGGTCGAGATGTGTATGGTTTAGAGAACAAATATCTTACACGAGTCTTCTATTTTCAGCTCAAACCAGGATGCATTCAATAACTGGATGTTTGGAAAAAGGTTCAAGGAGGATTGTTTGGTGTTGGACTCATTTGTCGCTCTACCACTGGCTGCAAAGCTTAGCATGGCTGCTCTTCCCGGTAATGAAGTGAAGGTTCTTCTATATGTAAGGAAAAAATGCTGATGTGATGTTCATAAGTTTTTTCGTGAGACACAGAATCTCGTCACAACTAAATTGTTACCATTTTCTTTCGTGTCTCAACTGAAGAAGACATTGAGTAAAAATGGGTCCCGTGAAATTGGTCTTGTAACGTTCTTATGAGTAGTAAGGTACTAAGTAGAGTTGAAATTAACAATCTTTTGAAGTTAGTGTTGGGAAGTTGTTCATAGTTGGTGTTAATGTGGGCGGAACACGTTAACCTAACGTATGCTGTCTTGATGTAGCGTAGCATGTGAGGCATGACGTCAGAGTGGCTGACGTCTTGATACTATTAAAATGGACAATTTCGTGTTAACTATACCACTTTCAGGCGATGACTAGACTGATTTAACACGAACAAACAAACTATTCTTGGTAAAAAAAAGCAGTCAATTTAATCACTTTGAAAACAGACACACATACATTCAAAAACCTGAAAGTTTACTCGAACTATTGTGTTTTGGCTGTGCTGCTTTTTAATAGACATATCCTGAATTGAAAGTCAAATAATTATTTATGTTGTTGTTCAAATTTTTGTTTTTTAAACTGGTACAAATTTTTAAACACAGGTTATTTATCATGATTTGTGACATTCACAGGAGATCGCAGCCCTGCTGAACAATGTCCATACTATCAAGCGAGAGTGGCAGGAAGAAAACAGTTTTGCCAAGGTATCATTGTTGAAACAATTTTAAACAGATCACAGATATAAGAGGCTAAATTTTGGAATTGGTGGGAAAAGATGAACCCTGTTTTAACAGCATCGCTTAGTGTGGGCACACGTTCAGGAATGATAATCCACAAAGAAAAAAATGGTTACTATACAATTTGATTCTTAATGTGTGTGTGTTTTTATTTTTATAGAATCAAAAGCAGTAGAAAGTGGCGAAGGAGAGACTCAAAGCTCTTCTTATTTAATGCTGACCAGTGCGGCTGGGTTGAATATAATACGACATTTGCAAGAAAACAGTTTGTGTGAACTGTCATTACAATACTTATTTGAGGTATGTGTCGCAAGTGTTATCATGACAGACTTGAAGCAACTGCAACGGCGACCTCACGCTCAAAAAGGAGTTGGG